GATTCTTAACTACTGTGCTACCAGGGAAGTCCCCAAAGTTACTTTTTTAAAAGAAGAATTTCGGGTTTGAGGCAGAAAATTACACTTTTAGTAAATAATTAGTAAATCAGATGGATGAAGTGGTAGAAAGATTCACATTAAAACAAATATTTAAAATTTGGTCCAAGGGAGGAATTTTAATCCATATCAGACTAAAAGAACTAAATATATTAAAAAGAATCAAAGTATCTTTTGTCATTTTAGTAGAAAATATTAATATTAAAATATTCTGTTAAAATTTATTTCAGTTCCCTGAATTTAAATAGTGATTTTAAAATAAAATATAACAGATGTTTTGGCTTCTATTGGCAAGGTACAACATCTCCTTCCCATTTTCATTTTTTTCTAAAATATCTCTTAAGAGTCTTCTCTTGTTCTTTTCTCATTTCATGGAATTTTTTTCTTTTAATGTTTTTATCTTACTTTAGCCTCTATACACACTTTTCAAATAGAAAGTGTTTTTTCCTCCTTTTTAAGGTACTTTCAATGTAGCCAAACTATACTTTTTCTAGTCATGTAGCTCCACCTGCTGGTCACTCCTTGGCATAGACTCAGGGTCCATTAGACCCAATTTTAGTTTTGAGGGTTTTTTGAGCAGTTCTATTTGTCATAATGAATATTTCATGATTTTTATTCTTTCTGAGAGGTCTTTAAAATATCAAAGGTAAAATTTACTTATTTTTTAAATAATAGGATAAAATAGGATATGCAATTACCATATGCATCCATTGGACCCTTTTACAAGTCTAAGATATGTTACAGGATCTTAGCAATCTTGTTCTTCCTCTATCTTGACACATTTGCTATTTCCTCACCCTAGGAACTATTACATTATTCACCAATTATTCATGCTAGGAAAGACTAAATAAGACAATGGAAGAATGGTGGAGAGATATTATTAAACCTAAATCTAGTGATGCTGGTGAAATTAATCACATAAGTAAAATCTCAAGACTGAATTTTCAGCTGTCAATATCCTAGATAAGTTTTCTTACATTTAAGAACTGATGAGTGAACAATATATTTCTAACAAGAAAAGGGAAATATGGTACTTATTCAAGAAGGAAGGACTTCATTGAACAATTATTTGTAACAAGAACCTGAGCTGTTTTACAAAAAGGATGTGTGACCACAGCATTCTTTCATCTTTTATGATGTTTATGTTCCAATAATTACTTGATATAGTTTCTAAGTGGACAATGCTAATATTAGGTGTATATATAAAGGTGACTGGAAGGAAAGAGATGGTGTAGAAATGAAAATAACTCATTGGATTAGAGAAAAATAAAGAGCCCATTGTACTCAGATGATAAATGATGATAACTGTTTTTCCTGGTATACTGAACATATGTAACAGGGAAAACAGGATACTACTCATAATAGAAATAAAATATCCAGGAATAAAATAATGAGAAATGTATATTGGATGGGAAAAGATAAAATTTTACTTAGGGACATAACCGAAGATATAAATAAATAAATAAAGTTCAATAGTGTAAAAACATCAATTCTCTCCAAATTGCTTCCTAAATACAGTGTAATAACCAAAGGATTTTTCATATAATTCAAGTTGATGATTCTAAAATTTATATGGAAGAATACATTTCTTTTTTATCTGTGCCCATAACTTTTATGATTTTGATTCATGCCAATGATTAGAATACCGTTTTGTTTTGTTTTTTGGGTTTTTTTTTGCCGCACTGTGTGGCTTACAGGATCTTAGATTGAGCCCAGGCCCACGTCAGTGAAAGTGCCAAGTCCTAACCACTGGACCACCAGGGAACTACCTATTTTTTCTTTCTTTTTAAATTATGTTTTATCAAAGCAATATATACATATAATTTTTTTAAATCAAAAACAGTACAGAGGTGCAAAATGACAACCAATGTGTCCCCGCCCCACCCTTCTCAGCTCTCAGTTCCCCAACCCAGAAATAAAAACTTTTACATGTGTCTGATTTTAGTTATTCTGGTAGTTATCCTCATTTTTCTTAATAATATGCTTTTATTACTATGTATTTTTTTAAATTTATTTACTTATTTGTTTTTATTTTGGGCTGTGTTGGGTCTTCATTGCTGTGCACAGACTTTGTCTAGTTGTGGTGAGTGGGAGCAACTCTTCGTTGCAGTGCGTGGGCTTCTCATTGCAGTGGCTTCTCTTGTTGCAGAGCACGGGCTCTAGGCACGAGGGCTTCAGTAGATGTGGCTCACGGGCTCTAGAGTGCTGGCTCAGTAGTTGTGGCACACAGGCTTAGTTGCTCTGCGGCATGTGGGATCTTCCTGGGTCGGGGCTCGAACCCGTGTCCCCGGCATTGGCGGGCGGATTCTTAACCAGTGCACCACTAGGGAAGCCCCTATTACTATTTCTTGACTTGATAACCTGAGACCCTTGCTGTTGACTCCCCGCTGACTCTGTTCCTGCTGTCTCCTCCCACCTCAATATGGTTATATTACTATTTTTACCTCCTGGTGGCTACGTTGGTCACTTTAATAATCTAATACCCAAACCTCTACCTTATTCTCTCAACTATAGCTGGAATCATCTCCACATTCTTTTTTATGAGGACAATAGCACCACTATTATTCCATTTATATTTCTGCCTTCCAACCTGTAGCCTTGTACATTGCCGAAGTTGGTAACATTTGTATTCTATTCTGTAATCATTATTAAGTCTTCCTTGCTTTGTCTAAGGTTTGACTCTAAAAGCTGAAAATCAATATTTACATTATTTATGATTACTTAAATGCTGTTCACTCAGTAGCAAAGTTTTATACTATAATTAAATTTTCTCATCTATTTCTTTGGAGCCTTGATCCACATGCCAATCTTCAAATCTTTCTTACAGTCCCAACAATTGCTCAAAATCATGTCACATCTTAGGTTGCTTCAGATTTGAAGCCTGCTTTTATTGTACAATTTAAAATGTTTCCTTTCCCCCTAAGTTTCCAGTGTATGGGGGGTGAAGAAATGACACCTTCCAGTGTTTCCTCCAGCTTCTCATTCAGTACATACATTACTTAAAATTCATTTCACTTCCTTTGAGTTCTACTTGCTGTTCTAATTTGGAGGATTTGCCTCCCATTTGGACCATTCTTGTACAATTTATCATTCTGTAGGTTTTTAGTTGCATTTTGCATTTTTTAAAAAATGCATCCTATACTTTTTCTCATTTTGTAAAGTTTGTGCTGCTTTTTTATTTATGGATACAACAGTTTCTCAGATATTTCTGAGGATTTTAATATTTTTAAGCTCTTTTCTATTCCTTCAGTTATCTATTTCCTCACGAGTCAATTCTTTGTTTTATCCAAGGCTTTTCTCGTCATACTGCAGGCTTTCAACGAATGATGATTTTCAGCCAGACAAGTTTGCAGGCAGGGTGGGTGCGCCAGTGGGTGAGAATCAACCATTCTGTTGGGGCCCCTGGTGACACAAAGCTAGCAGTGGCTCCGCAGGCAGGTGTTGAGCATGAAAGCAGGGGAAGTTCATGGTCAGCTCCCGGGCCAAGTGGAGGAAGGTGGGCAATGTGCACTTGAACCCCTTCCAGAAGAGCATTTCCCTGATCAGTCTTTCTCAAGTAGCTGATCTAAAGTAACTCTCAGTTACTTTCAATGTCCTGTGTATTTTCTTCATATCAAAAATTGATAATATATTTCTTGTTCATTTATTTGTTTATTTTGTTACTGTCTGACTATACCACTACATTACAAATAAACAGATGCATATGATATCTAAATGATATAATATAGGGCAAATTCTAATTGATAAAGACTTGGCTCATAGTCTTTATAAGTATATGTGATAATCCTACAATTAGGGACACTCCTCAAAAATAATTCTACCTTTGACATATGTAATATAATTAATTTCATAACTTGCAAATTCATAACTAACTTGTTAATGTCATAATTAACATAACTTGTTAATGTCATAACTTGCAAAATCTTAATTTTGCTTTGTTTTTGCTCTCCTATACACACACACACACACACACACACACACACACATATACACACAAAGGCAGGCTGCCATAGAGAATGATGTGATTACATGATTCAGAGGGCAATAGTTTCTAGTTTATGAATACTATACTAGTGCTATATAAGTTATAAAAAATAACTCCAATGAAGTCATTCAATCAGATCCTTACCACCCATATTTCAAACAGTTTTTATTTATTTTGGTCAAGAACAAAATCCTCCCTAATTAAATGTGAATCCCTACTAACTGCAAACGAAGTCCAAGGAGGCTGAGAAAACCCGCCCGAGTCGGTGGTGCAGAGCCACATTTATGACTCAAATCTCCCCATTCTCAATTCAAGAAAAGTATGTCTTTCTGGATGTGGGACAAAATCTGCTGCCCACCAAAATCAACTCTCCTCTTTTCCCAAGTAGTTGTCAGTGTTTCCCAGAATTGTCTCATTGGCCTTTTCTTGTCACTTTTTATATTCTCCCCAGAGCCTCCTACATGTTTAACACTTTCCACCACCATCTTTATGCTGTTGGCTCCAAAATCTTAATAACCAATTCTCATCTCTATCTTGAGATCCAAGTCCTTATTTTTAACTAATTAACTGGTATCTTCAAATGTAAGTTGAACTCGGTAAATTCATCCTTACCTTTCATACTAGCTCTTCTTTCTTTCTATAAGCCATAACGGCACAAGCATCTTCCCAATCAACCAAACCAAGAGCCCCACACCTTCCCAGTCAAGCCCTGTTGAATTTATCTCCTTAATGTTTCCTATATCTCTCTGCACCCCTATATCTCCTCTACCAGCCATTCAAAGGTATATAGCATCTGGTTCATTATTTATAAAACAAGAGAAGAGGCTTTCATTTAGAAGACTGCACTAACGTACCCAAAAAAGACAATGTTTCTAAGTACCTAATCTATCCTGTCAAGCTTTCAAACTCAGTGAAAAATTATTTCCTACAAGTTAATATAAAAATATAAGAGACTTACTTAAATGGTGTGAACAAAAATGGTAAAGTAGCTTCTTTTTTCTGAGCCATTTTCACCTGGGAACCAAGTATGAAAATACTTTATATTATAAATGAGAAAAAAAATTAATTTCATTTTGAAATATAAACATCCATTGAAATGGTTCTTCAGGGACAGAAATAAATGGAATTTTGTGTTGCTATATTATTTCATAAATATCTAAAGAAAATGTTAATATTATTGTACCATTACAATAAGCTGAGAATTAAGCATATCAAGCCTGCAAAATAACATATTGTAATGTAATTAAACTATACTTCTTTAATTCTTAGGAAACAAAATAAGCCAAGCTGCATTAACATATTCTGTTATTAAGAATAACAGAAAGGGACTTCCCTGGTGGCGCAGTAGTTGAGAGTCTACCTGCCAGTACAGGAGACGCGGGTTCGACCCCTGGTCCGGGAGGATCCCACATGCTGCGGAGCAACTAAGCTCGTGCACCACAACTACTGAGCCTGCGCTCCGGAGCCCGCGAGCCACAACTACTGAAGCCCGTGTACCCTAGAGCCCACGCGCCGCAACTGCTGAGCCCACGCACCGCAACTACTGAAGCCCGCGTGTTCTAGGGCCAGCATGCCACAACTACTGAGCCCACGTGCTGCAACTACTAAAGCCCCTGCTCGCCGCAACTGGAGAAAGCCAGCGCACAGCAATGGAGACCCAACTCAGCCAAAAACAAAAAAGAATAACAGAAAGTTTCAGTTAGATGGTCACCTCTTTAAGCTCTTAATGCATATAATAATATACATGGAACGACAAGAAATGTTGCAATCTCTAATCCTACTTCTACAAGGCAAATTTCACTGATAAAGACTTGGTTTGTAGTCTTTATGAGCATATGTGGTACTCTAACAATTAGGGACACTCCTCAAAGGTAATTCTACACCCTTAAACTGATTCATGGAACCTGCACCTCAGATATGTGAAACTTTAGGACATTAGTTAAACACACAAAATTTAAAGATAATAAATTATAGAAAATCATTTCTTGAAATGCAAAATCAAATATTTTCACTTAATATATGCAATTTTAAAATTGTAGTAGCGTCCATTTTTGTGTGTGGTCTTGTTTTACCTTGAACTGTTCAAGAATCTGTACTGCATTTGTAAACATGCTCTCTGCTTTGAAGAGATCAGTGCTGTTAAGTATATCCACAGGAAGGGTTCCCTGTAAATAATAGACACTGATTTAATATTAGTACTAACAAAGCTCAAAATATTCTTATAAAACAAAACAGACTTACAAAGGAAGCAATAGAGATGACATATGGACAAATTCTTGGAATAATTAAAACAAAAAATCTTTTTAAAAACCATAACTAAAAAATGTTCTATTAGTTTTTCTTACAAAGTAGATATAATAAAGTAAATAAAGCAAAAGAGATGAATTAAGTTCAATAAAACCTAACATTTATTTAAAGATTACTATGTGGCAGGCAGTGAACTAAAGGTGCTCTGCACACACAAAAAATTACTATGGTGGGCCACAGCCAGCTCACTTAAAAAGAAAAAAAAGAAATAATAAGAAAAATAGGACTATATTACTATGTATAGTAACGGTAAGGATTGTTTTGTGAAACGCTGGTTTCAGTGACAGACATACACACATACTTATGACTATAGGGGTCATATCAGAGTTCTGAGGTAGATGACATTATGTTTTTTAAGTTTGACTTGAAGGGCTAGAAAGAATGGCTGATGGGAATGGATTTTGTTTGTTTTTTAGCTTTTCAGCATCCAGTTCCCATTTTTAACAGCATTACCATTCTATGTTCAGATATCAAGTAGAGCATAGTAGGTCTCTAATGAGGCCCCCCCCAGCCTTCCCTCACTGAAGGGTAGACAAATAACTGAGGCCAGACCACTCAAATGGTAAGCACTGGAATTTGACACTTGAGAGTCAAGGAACAGAGAGTACAACAGGTGTAATGCTACTCTCCCCTAGTGTCAGTGACCCTGCAGACTGGCCCTACCATGGGACCACGGTGAGCTTCTTTCTCCTGAGTCTCTGGAGCACTCTTGGTTCCTGTTCATTTCCCAGTCTGGCCTTTGAGGACCCCTTTGATTTAGCAAACCAGCAATATCTTTTTAATAAATTTCCTTTAAATGGATTCAGTTTCTGCTTCTTACAATAAAAAATTACTTATATATTTTCATCATGTAACTAAAATACAAAGATATAAATCTATTTACATTTTAGAAAATAAAAAATTTTTAAGAAAAGCTATTAGGCTTGTGCTCCATGTTGTATTTCATACATAATTATGAGGTGTTACATCTTTAGAAAGAAATATAAAGGAAAAAAGTTTTAAATGTAATCAAAGATAATTCAGAAACACATAAAAAGTGAATTTTACTGTACAATAATTTTTTTTAATTCTGAGAGTTGATAAGAAAATTGTATTCTTTACCACTGAATTAAGAGGGAAGGGAACTCCAATAAGAGCAGCCATCAGTGGTGCAACATCAGCCTACAAACAGAAGAAGTTCAAATCTAAGAAGCTGACAGAGATCAACAAGGAAAGTAAATAATCTAATTAATATCACTGTAGTCTAAAAAATAACCATGATATTCATTATAATCCATTACCTTCAAACATTTATTTAATACATAGTAGGTACTGATCTCTAAAAAATGTCATTTGCTAGAGGTATGTGAACTTATGAAAACTTAAATTTGACAAGAAACCACTAGGAGCCCCAAATGTAAAACACATAAAAAGTTACTTATTCTAGATGCCAAAAACTTGACCACTTTATGCAACAGTGTTTGAGTATATGAGAAGGATGCTTTAACTAGAAAATAAATAGCAAAAATAGACTTTAACTAAAGAAATATAAATATATAAATTAAAGACAGTATGTATCAGAAGGAGGTTTGTTTGCCAGCCAGTGAAGTCCAGAAAAGATACAAACCAGATAAGAGGCTCTTTGGACAAAAGACCTCAAATATCATTTTGGAGAGCTCCCTTCAAGTCCAGTTTCCCAGAAGAGTTGTTCATGCTTTCTGTCTCCATGGCCTCACCTCCCCATCACTCCCCAGGCCACTCTAACTTGTTTTGACTCTTTACCATTCTGTAGACTGCTCTTCCTAAAGAGCTAATAACCTCCATTTTTCTACAACTAATTGATTGCTTTTATATTAGTCCATACAATTTTTCAGGGAGTAAAATACTTGGCTGTCAGAATGCTCAGTTTCAAACACTTGCTTGTGATCTCTGAGACCTTGGGCAGGTTATTTAACCTCTCCAATGCTTCAGTTTCCTTATCAGTTAAAAAAGAAATAAAACTTTCTCCCTTACAGAGTTATGGCAGGATCAAATGAGACTAAATTTATAAAGTACCTGGCGCATAATAGTCCTGCACTAACCGGTGACTACAAATGCTGTTGTGATGATTATAATTACGTGACCTCTTGGCAGTGCTGTGCGGACCACCCCCTCCTGGGCCTTAACATCCCTCCACTGAGTGCCTCCAATCTCACTGTGGCTTCTTTCCAGATACCTTCTCTAGCCCCCATTTAAAACTGGAGTTTGGTCCCAGGCTCTCAGTCTTACTTTTTACCATCTAGACTCTCTTTACCATCTCATAGAACACTGAAAACCCCATTGGCCGCCTAATCGCTTCCTCTCCTTCCCCCAGAATCCACCGTTGGCCTCCTCTGATCTAGTCTCCATGCTGCAGCCAGAGGAATCCTTTCACAGAAAATCAGATCATGTCACTCCCCAGGCTTTGAACACTTCAAAGGCTTCCTCAAGCTTTAGGATTAACTCCATAGGGCCCATGAGGCCCTGTGTGGTCCAGTGTCTACCTTATTCTGCCTCACATCAAAGCACGGTCTGTTGCTCTGTACACCCATTTCTTCAAGATCCTTTAAAATGCCACGTACCCTCTACCAGAGCTCTGGGCACATGCTGCTCCTTTGCCTGAAAAGCTCCCTTCCTCCTGCCTTGGCCTGGCAACTGCTACTCATTCTTCAATCGCAGCCCAAGTCTCAATTTCTGGGGAAGACTTTGCTGACCACACAGCCTATGAGATATATCTGCTTTATACTCTGATGGCTTCACAGGCCTCTTTTGTTGTACTTTTGTTGTATATCACGGCTATAATTTTACGTTTGTTTGTATGATAAATACAAATAAAAGTAAAATTTATCTTATTCCTAAACTATAAGCTTCCTAGGGTAGGGAGTGTGTCAGCTTTTATTCACCATTATATCCCTTATACAAAGTTTAATGTTAATGTGTTAATGTTTCAATATTTTAATGTTAATGTTAATGTTTGCACGATGTTTAAACATACTGCAGACACAAAACAGTGTTGGCAGAAGGAATGAATAAAGAATTCTCATCTAATGTAGATCTGAAGCAGTATTCAGAGAGCAATAGCTGAATCTATATTTAGTTTTTGATTATGATCCAGTCTATATAAAAAACATGTTCTTGTTTTATGGACTTCAACTTATTCCTATCCCTTTGACAGTGATTTGTATTGCAAAGTAATAGACTGCTATCTGATTCTATACATTGTCACTTACTTGGATAATAAGCATCCATCCTGAGCGAAGAGACCATTCTTAATATGCTGAGAAAGAACAGGCTTCTATAACCGTAAGCCTGAAAATGAGACCCTAGACCTTGGTTTATCCACCACAGTAAGGAATGTCAGCTTGTGAGGTGACCTGGAGAAGTAAGGTATTCCCGCCATTTTGGAGGCCACATACCAACGATGCCATGCCTTCCACAAATAGTAAAGATGGCTGTCTACACAGCATATCTTCAACAAGAAAAATCTGTGCTTCATATTTACAGATAATGTTACTGGTCTAACTTGATTAAGTTGGCCACACATTTTCCTATAATGTAAGGTTTCTAGCTGAGTAATCTATATAGTCTTGTCACTTTTTCTCCATTGCATTTGTAAAAACTCTGGGTAGAATTAAAGATAAAATGGGTGTTAATAAAAAAGAACTGGTAACTGACACACTAACAGGAGAGAAACCCATAATGGGGTTTTATTAGATCTGTGCTTAAAGCAACTAAGCAAGGCAACCATGACAAGAAGTCACAGAAATGTAACAGGCATGCAAATTTTAATTTGCATAATAATTCTTTAATTAGTCAGTGTTACTTGGAGGGAGGGCATCTTCTCTTTTCACTTTTATTTGCAGCTGCTTTTTTTATTTTGCCAAAAGGAAGATTACTTGGGGTTAAGATATTCTCATTTAATAGGATTTCCCTTGGTAACTGAAATGTTTTAGAAAAATCTTTTAACATTATTAATATACTTTTTTTCCAGACTTTTTTGGTCTAAACTTCTTATAGACGAAATTAAATCTGAACATGATTAAATTTAATGAATACCTGATTGACATCTTGTCTCTTCCAGTTCTCCAATTTCCATTCTGAAATATACAAATAAACACCAGAGCTGCTGTTAAGAATTTTTTAAAAAGATAAATCATTTTATTATTATAAGTGGTCAGTGGAAACGAAAGTATTGGTAAAGTTCATTTTAAGCCAAGTATGAACAAAAAGCGTGCTTAAGAAGGAAGAGCTATAAATTTTTTAAACTAGAATTTTAAAAGAATAACTGAAAAGTAAATAATTGATATTTTCTGTGATAGTATATTAATTTGGAAATAATTTGGAGATAATTGTTTCAAAACATCCAAAGGCTAAGGAAGGAAAGATGGTAGTAAAAGACACAATGATAACAACTGTCAGCATGACTACAACTAATGACAGTCGTGTTCCAGGGAATTATTAAGGCAACCAATAGCCCGTTAGTCAATCTAAGCTTTTCTTTTTTCTGTAATGAGAGTTGCTTGCAAAATATTTGAAATTTTTTAGCTCTGATGCTCCTACCGTCACTAATCCCAAATGTGAAAGTAGTATAGTGAGTTACTATTAAAACTGCCTCATTCCCCTATCTTTCTACATATAAATTCAGAAATTTCAATAAACAGTCATCAAAACAAATGATTATGAGGCCATGTCTTGATTTTAAGACTTTGTTTTTGACTTTAAGATATATTACCCAAAGGGTTCTAAGGTATTTTTATGATGAAGTTTCCTTTAATAAGCTAAAAAAGTTTAAAAATATGATCCTAATTCTACCAGTCAGCTACTAAAAATTCAGACTAATCACCTGATGAGGAAAAACATGTACATTCCCTTTCTCTGTAACTTATGATACCAAATATCCATATAAGAAAAAATACATTCTTTCAGTAATGATTCTTGAAGTCATATGATTCTAAAACGTTAAGTCACTGAGAAATCAACTGCCAAAAGAAAGTTCTGTCTCCTAAGTATTCAATACAAACATACTATTTAACCTAGCTTCTATTTAGATTCAATCTAATCCATTTAACACAGAGCATAAGAATATAAAATGGTGCAGCTGCTTTGAAAAACAGTTTGGCAGTTTGCAAAAAATAAAACATAGAGGAACACATGACCCATTAATTCCACTCCTAGGTACCTGCTCAAGAGAAATAAAAACACATATGCACTCAAAACCTTTTACACAAATGTTCATTGAGTCATTATCATAACAGTTCAAATGTGGAAATGACATAAATGTCCATAAGATGACAATGAAATATGGCATAGACATACAATGGAGAGAGAAGTAAGGAGTGACTGCTAATGGGAAGGGATTTGGGGGGTGGTGGTGGCAAGGAAATGTTTTGTAATTAGATAGTAGAGGCAATTGCATAATCTTGTGAATATACTAAAAAAATTTAATCATACACTTTCAAAACATGAATTTGATGGTATGAGAATTACATCTCAATAAAAAATAAACAAAAAAAAAGAAAGGAAGTGTGTAGGAAAATTTTATTATACAAACCAAAAAGTCTTCTATGGTAGACATACCTAATACAGCTGGGAGTCCACATCCCTGGAGAAGGTTTTAAAAGGAACATTTCTAGGGCTTACCCAGACTCATGGAATCAAAATACCTACAGACAAGGTCTGGAAATCTGTAACTTTTTTTTTTTTTTTGCGGTACGCAGGTTTCCCACTGCTGTGGCCTCTCCCATTGCGGAGCACAGGCTCCGGACGCACAGGCCCAGTGGCCATGGCTCACGGGCCCAGCTGCCCCGCTGCATGTGGGATCCTCTCGGACCGGGGCACGAACCCATGTCCCCTGCATCGGCAGGCAGGGTCCCAACCACTGCGCCACCAGAGAAGCCCTGTAACTTTTTTTTTTTAATCTGTATTCTTAACAAGTGCTTTGAATGAGTCTGACACAACTAATCCAGAGAAAGGCATTTGAGAGGAATTTATTTTGTCCAATTAGTAAAAGCTTTGAAACGCTAAAATATCCTTACCTTACAAAATAACCAGAGCTCCAAGAAAAAGGAATTCCTTTTCGTCATGGATTGAGAAGGAAGGGAGGCTTGGGCAACAGAGAGAGCCTTCAAAAGTACTAGAGACAGGGCAAAATCTGTCCGGTTTTGAAATATCAATTGTGACATATGTGTGATTTATCTAATTGATAGTCTTTGCAGGTAAGATCTAAGCCAAGGGTTTAATCTAAGTCCTGGAATAATAAGGTTTGTGAAAAAAAAAATTAAAACTTATACTTGAACTTTCACAAGGCAAATAACTAACAATTATATTTCAAGCTGAATATTATAAACCAAATAATATGAACTATACAAAAGTAATACATAGAAATAGTAATGACACAAATATCAAAATGAAAGCTATAACTTGAAAAGTAATTTTTTTAAGTTAAACTTTGGTTTTATTTTAAAATGTCACATTTATAAAAACAATAAAGATAAATGTTCATACCTTGCAAATATGTATCATCAAATTTCTGAGCTAACACTTTTTGAGGATACTTGATTCCAGCTCCCCAAGTGACAAAAGGAGTACAAGTCTCTAAAGGATGACCAGCTCCATGGGAACCTACAAATAAGACACAAAGAGTAATAAGACAAGTATCAATATATAAGAATTAACTTATACCTAAATATTTTTTAATACTTAGTTTTAAAGAGTTGATCTCTATATAGCTAATTCTAGCCACCATACTCCCAAATGTTTCCATCTCTATTTAACAATTAGTTTTTAAATATTCCCAAAGAAAGTCAGAGCATCAACAACAAACAGGCAAAAACAAAAAGCAGAACATCCGTTGAGTGACTGGTTGAAAGAAGAATAAGAATAATAACAATAAGACTTGGAGGAGATGCCACCAGAGTAGTACCAAAGGCAGAAAGAACAGGTAAAGCTCCTTTGGGGAGTAACCACCCAAGTTTGAGGCCAGGTCTGCTCTGAAGAGGATAGCAAAGTCTCTATATGCTTTTCTTCCAGGCCACTCTGGCTGGTATAGCCAAAAGCCCTTTATAAAGTGGAACCGGCTCACAAGAATTCTACATTGTGATTTGGTGACCCAAACCTCAGCTTTGCCTTATTTTGTTCTCTGTGCACACACTGTGTTTGCCTTGGGAATCTCACAGGGGGGATAGGCTCATCTAGTAGTACCCTCAGTAATACCACCTTAAACTCACCCCCTCTGCCATCACATACAGTTAATTCTAGGTGGATAATCAGTATTTTTTGTTTTCTTCACCACACTTTTCTCTAATTTCTCAAGTTAAATGAGAGTATATTCCCTTCATAGTTAGAAGAAAGATTATATAAGATCAGTCTTTTATACACTAACATTTTATGCATGCTATTATGTGCTAGACAGTTTGCATATACTAAGATATCTAATCCTCTTCAACATTACAAGATATTTGCAAGCTACATTTACCACTGCTTTAATCGTAAAGTATATATCATTTAGAAACAGACTAACCCCAGTCTGTCATTCCATGGTCAGCAGTAAAGATAAATGCTGTTTTCCCATCATTTCCGTAAAAATCTTTAAGAGTAGACACAATTTCTTTCAATCCCTCATCAACTATTTTAATATTGTTCAAATATTCCCTGTTTAAAAAGAAAGAGAAGAGAAAATTAAATTATATTAATTACATTAATTTGGAAAAATCAAATTTATTCAACATGAACTTGTAAAGTCAATAACTTGAAGTACTTTTAGATCTCATCTTTAATATTTTTTTAAATCAGAGCTCTTTAGAGTGTTAAAAGTAATTTTCTTCTCTTAAAGAAGTAAAAAAGTCTGGAATCATTTTCAAAAATGATTTTTAAAAAGATATTGATTAGCAAATAGATTTTAAGGAATGCTTTTTAAGTCTCAAATACAACAATGATGACTTTTAAGTTCATGCCTCTCATAATGTAAACTATATTGCTCTTTCCACATTAGTAATAGGTAAGCATCACTGTTTCAACTATAGAATATTTCCATCCCTTAGAGTGTTTGTGATATAAACCACTATAATATATTTTGAACAAACTATATTTAAGCTTTCCATACAGTTGAACAAGGATGGTTTGGTATAAGTTTTATCACTTAAGACAATGCATTGTGTTAAAGAAGGGAAGCATGAGGTATTCATTACTGGCAGCTAGCCAATAGGCTTTACAGTTAGACTAATCTAAACCAAATTCAAAATGAAGAATAAAAGTATAACATGAATTCTTCCTTTCTTACGGTCTTCAAAAGTGAGAAAAATAGTTGCCGTTTTATATAAGGAGTACTACTGAAACATCACATACAAAACTTTATACTGTTACCTGCTAGATACAGCACTGATTAAATGGAACATAAGGACCAGCTAATTACATCTTTTTGTGATATAAATATTAACACCATAAAAATGCTTTTTATTTCAAAATTTACTAAAATGCTTCTAAAATATAAGTTTTTTCTCTCTGACCTGATAAATGAAGAATATGGAATACACATACAGGATATATTTTACTTATATTAATGTGCAGTGTGGTCACAGCACATGTGACTTTAGCCACTATATCGTACTACATCTCATATAAATGAGAACTTATTCTACTTTAGAGTTATTTAAAATATAAGTTCTGTTGTGATCATTACAAAGAAAACATTATAATAATATTTTAAAAGTTCAAACAGGCGTTTCCCTCAAAACCATGAAATTAAACACAGCATTAAAATTACCTTGACGACGGTCGGTGAGCATGTCCATTTGTATCTATTCCTAATAAATGTAAGAAAAAAACTATTTTGTCTTCATTTAGTTTAGAAAACAAAGATTGGTTGTTTCTGGCAGCATGAAAGAATTCCTATATGTAACAAATCAGGTAAAAAATTTTAGTTCATTTATTTTATTTAAAAAGTAATTCCAATGAAAACATTTAATTAAATTTATACATAACTATAAAATTAAATTATCCTATTTTGTTTAAATTTGTCCTCAGGACCTAACAACACAAAGTACTTGTCAGTTCAGACATCTATGTTCAAATAACGAGTGAGCTATTTTCTGTGTTATAATTAGGCTGAAAAAAGGTTATAGAACGGGGATCTCGTTTTCATGAAGTTCTCATAACATTGAATAAAATATAGCAGACTGAAGAACTATTTTGACAAGAGTCAAAAGTAAAACGGTACTAGTGGCAACAGTTTAGGAACGCTTTATGAGTTTAAAATGTTTTCATACTTCTGTTGTCCTATGTTACCACCCTAGTCCAACCATAGTCTCTCATTTGCAACATTGCAAATAGCCTCCTATTTCCTTTGTCCCAAGACTAGAATCTGTTCTTCACATTGTATGATAGAAAAATGTCCACTTAATGAAAGGAAATACGGTTCAAAAATGATTAATTTCATAATGATAAACTGGATTCATAAAGCCCTCTAAGAAAAGGATTCATCCTGTGCTTACATACACATGAACATGTAAGCAAGTACCTATGGAGAGTATTTTTAAATTATTTTAAATACGTCAACAGGCTGCCAAGATATATAATTATTGTTCACATAAATGAACTATAGAAGATGTTAATTTTAAGAGGTATTTAACTTTCCAACAAAAGTCTGAAATATTTTTTCAGATAATTCTTCATTATTACAAACATTAAAAATATAAATGGTGCCATTAGAGAAACCATCTAGTCAAGAATAGAAATAATTTTTTTAAAAAACATAAACATAATGCTACCAATCCTCCTTAAAAACATAAAATGGCCCCCTAACTTTCATATATGTATGAAATGTATATTCTACCTAGCCCCTTTCAAATACATTCTAATTAGCCCCTAAGAAATTTTAAATCTAGGTGGAAATGGTAAGTTTTTCAAGAGAAAGGAATTACATTCTGAAGATATAATTGAAAGCTGACAAGGAACAAAAAAACTTAGCAATTGAACTTGAGTCAAATTTACAATTTGTTTCATGACTGATAATATTCAGCTTTGTAAAAAGTGCTATTCATTCATATGTGGACACAAGATCTGGGAAGCCATGAAACACTAATCTTACAGAGCTCAGCCTATTAGATTCCCACTGCCTTTTAAAAAGTTGGTCTTTTGTACCTAAGAGACAGAGCACACTCCTAGCTTCTTTCCCCCCAATATTTAGTATAATTATGCCCACCAATCCCACTTTTCTTAGCTCAAAGACACTCATTCATTTTTGCACTTAACAAATATTTATTATACCTCATGGGAGACTGCTAGATGACTACCCTAGCATGCAGTCTCCCTTTCTCTCCAAGTAAAACCTCTGATTTTATGGGACATGTCAGTGCTCCAAACTTAAAAGCTACATATTTCCTATTCTCTCTCACAGCTACATGTGCCTTTTTGGTTATGGCCAATGAGATATAAGTCAAACATTTCGGTCAAAGGACTATGTGGACCTAAGGCTTTTTGAAATAAATTTAATTTAGTAGGACAGAAGGTCCTTTTCGATTCCTCGTACTGTTGGCCTAAAACATTTAAAATAATGGCTGGAACTCCAGCATCTCTTGGGTCGTAAGACAACTCTGAAGCTAAAACCATGCTCTGAGGATAGAAGAGAAACTTAGGAGACTGGGTCTTAATGACATTGTGGAACCACTATGGCAATATTGGACTGCATCAATCTTGGGCTGCATACTTCTGGCATTATCTCTTATTGAGATAGAACTTCTAAGCAATATTTTTTTCTATTACAGCGTTGAATTTAATCTAAATTAATCATGTATCTATGTACCAGACAATTCCATGATAGGAATTTAGATTTAACAATGTGAAAAAAACAGTATCTCTGCCATAAGATGTATATAGGATTGAAATTGTTTGGGTTTTTTTGTTTGTTTTGTTTTGTTTTTAAATCCCCTCCTTTTTGCATAAACAGTACAGAAATGCTTGTTAGATCCAATGGCTTATAATATAGGCAGTTGTAAGCTTAAATAAAAGCAGAGTTCCTTTTAATCTTCTGGGATGTATTGGAACAGTTAGTCCTCACACATCTTTTTTTTTTTCCATTCTTTTTTAGATTCTTTTCCCATAGGATTGAAATTGTTGCCAATGTATCAAAAATTACAGCATAGCATAATAAGGTACTAAGATAGAGGTATTAAGGGAATATAGAAGAGGGTTCTCTAAGTCAAACTGGAAGTGGGGTAAAGCAAAGGGAAGTCATGGAAGACCTAAGAGGAGATGGCTATGGATATTTTACCACAATTTTAAAAAAAGTGAGTAGAAATTGGCATATATTTGTAAACCGTTTGACTAGAATTAAGCATGAGTCTCTGGCCAGGGCACAAAGTCCAGGTTGGAGCCCTGACTCCCTCTCTAGCCTGATCTCAGACTGTGCTCTAGTAAGTGTTCCTGCCATGCTAACCTCCCCTTTTTTCAGTTCCCCAAATCCATTATGCTGGCTCTCCTTTCAGGGCCCAAGTTCACATAACGCTGTTGGCCTGAAATACTCTTCTCTATATGCAATCCAGATCCATCCATTTCTTTGTCTCGTATACTTCTCCAGAGACTATCTCAAAACTCTCAGGAAAGTCTTCCTCTAACTGTTTAGTTTAGATCAGAATTTTCTAAAGATATATTCTTAGTCCCTGCATTTTTCCTTCACACCACTGATCACTGTTGATGATTTCATATTTTTGTTATTGATTAATGTACATGTCTCTATCATACCTTATGAAGTTGTAGGCAAATTTTTTTTCTAGTCACTATCATATCACCAACTAGCAGTGTTGAAGTAAAGTAAAAAAGTCATAAAATCAGGCCAGTCATTAGCAATATCTGCCTATCCACAAGGAATCAAATCCATGATTTTGGAACATTTTTGGCATGTTTATGAAATTAGAAGCCAAAGGCCCTTAAGCAGATATTAATATAAGTCAATTATATTAAGAAGTGATAGCAAAATAAATTGCTAATTATTTTTTTGAAGAGATTTTATTTAACTTGAAGGTCTTCCGTTTTGACAAAAGCATATGTTAAATGAAAAAAGAAAGCTTCAAGGAAAAATATTCTGATAAAAGAAATAGGGTTTATCAAAGAACACATTGAACACTTAATTCCTGATAAGTAAATACAAAGAAAAATGCAGACACATACTGACTGTTTACAAACAAACAATAAAAACGACTACATTATGGAGAAGTCCTCAATGTCAGTCCAAAGACACTACTGGTAAAAGGAAGAATCATTAAGGGTCAATCAATGAATGCTTCTTATAACAGATGAATTATGAGTTATAATTTGGAGATGAGAAAGAATAGTTTGACAGAAAGGAGTGACCCAATATCCACAGCTGAGATTTTTACAGTTTGTGAAAATATAAATTCTATTGGATTCCTGGTTAAGCTGTGATGATTGTCACTAACAAATAGTCCAAAAAACTCGATATCTTAACAAAATTCAAATATTTTATTATGATTAACTTGTGAATTTGTTTTTGCTTATCTAATTTTTCTTTAAAGTACAATTTTTTTAAACATCTACTTTATGTTATAATAAATGCATTAGATTTGAACAGCATTTTTCAGAAGACTTTCAAACAAATCACATGGTCTCACTACTTGTAAGAGACTGGTTCTGTGGTCAAAGAAAGATCAAGAAGGTTTACCTAGGATGATTCAGCAAACTAGGAAAGAAATGCAGGTTTCCTAAATCCAACCAAGGGCTCATTTTACTGTCAGAAACACGGAATTTAAGAGTTAACTTTTTAAAAAAATAAATCTATTTATTTAATTTATTTATTTTTGACTGCATTGGGTCTTTGTTGCTGCACACAGGCTTCCGCCAGTTGTGGGAGCTACTCTTCGTTGCGGTGCGCAGGCTTCCCATTGCAGTGGCCTCTCTCATTGCAGAGCACGGGCTCTAGGTGCGTGGGCTTCAGTAGTTGTGGCGTGCGGGCTCAGCAGTTGTGGCTCGCAAGCTCCAGAGCACAGGCTCAGTAGTTGTGGCACATGGGCCTAGCTGCTCCGCAGCAGGTGGGATCCTCCCAGACCAGGGATTGAACCCGTGTCCCCTGCATTGGCAGGCAGATTCTCAACCACTGCGCCACCAGGGAGGCCCAGAGTTAACTTTTTTAAATTATTTTTTTTAAACTTCTATTAATTGGTTATTGTAGAATGTGTAATTTCCTAGAATCCAGTCTTTTTAAAGTAGTAGGCTACAATAAAGAACTTTCAAGTTCATACAAGTAAAAAAAAACTAAGATGCATTTACTAACAAGTCAGTTTCTAGTACATTAGGTACAAATACGTGTGCTGTAGATTAGCCACTCAATAGCACGTACCTTCACATTATCAAAAACCCAGGTATCCAGTTTTGTTACATCCTGGGCACCAAAATCCTCACTGTAAGCATCATAATTATGTGCAAAAACATGGTTTCCACTAGCACCTGAAAAGGAAATTTGGAGAAAAAATTTTTAATGATCTGCCATGGACCATAGTTTATACTATAACCTATGCTGTTGTTTTAGTTCTCACAGTAACATATTCCAATTTTACAGATACACTACAAATGAGTTAATTAACTTGCCAAAGTCACAGTGCTAATGAAACACGACAGCACAAAAGTAAACACCAAAGTTTGTCTCCCTGTAAGGATTAAACTATTCAAAGAATTTGTGCATCTAAGGATGGTACAATCTAAAATAGATGAAATCATTTGTTTTACAAAATTCCCTAACCAAGAAGAAAATTCAAATATTTCAATTCTTTTATTCATAAAATATGTGCATTTTTCTCAGTATAAGGGAATAAATATTGCTTATTGCCAAATAGTTTGAAAGGGTCAACAAATATATTAATCTTACATATTTGTAGGATTTTATTAAGAATCTAATCAACTTAGTGAATTTCTGAGTTAGGCTCTTACAGCTCATAAGTAAGAGATATAACAAAATAATGACAAATCTCTTATAATATCAGCTTAGCTCTAATGATACTATTCTACTGTTCAGCCATTCTACTTCCCACATTCTAAGTAAAGATCTGAGTGGGTCTGTGGGTTGCCATAAGAAATGGAATATTCTTATTCGATTATCTCCAGGCGTCCTGTCCTATCAACTGTAGTCAGAAGTAGGGAGGTAAATTTGGTAGCCATAGCAACTTAATCCATCCTCACTACCACCAGTCCCCCAAAAAGCTTAACTGCTTTCCAAAGAAGGGAGTATATAAATGGCAAGCAGTATGAGTTTTTTGACCTGCTCTACATAATAATGTTCTGTGACTATCATACAGAAAATTCTGAATATCTGTTTTGCTTTTGAGACATATAATAATCTTTAGTAATTACAATTATATTATATTCTTGACTAAGTGTAAACCTTTTCATTAGGTGAAATGATCATAATGCTCTCACTAAAAAGCATTTAATGACATAAAATTCAAATGGAATCCAACTGATTTTAGAAAATAATGTAAATGAATTTTCTAATCAAGAGATGTTCGAATACTTGCAGATTCATGCAGAAATACAACACACACAACAAATCCAAATGGCATGATCCTGAATATATGCAAATAGAAGTTATAAATATTAACATTTAAATCTTTATGTGACTATCTACTAACTTCTTAGTAATAATCTATCAAAGTAAAATGAACCAGACATCTACATCATCATTATAATGAGGAGTTATCATCGTCATAATAAGCATTTTGCTAAATGTTTCACATGAATTATCTTATTTAATCCCCAAAACAAACCTAGAAGATAGAAATTATTATCACATTTTACAGAAAAGAAAACTGAACTTCAAAGAAGTTATCTAACTTGCCCAAGATTAAAAAGCTATTAGATGTTAAGAGTCATACATATACCATTTCATCGAATCCAAGGTATTAAAAACTGTATAATTCAACATTTCAAGTACAACTAAGAAGGAAAAAAATCAAACTCACATGTCTATCTATTGCAATATACACCCTTATTTCAGAGATGTTAAACATGTAAAACCATGTATTTCAAAATCAATAAAATATAGCATATATTTTAAATTACCATATTGATTTATTGCCTATTTAGTAGCTGAGGAAATATAATCAATGACTTTTACCTTTGGCAAACATAGCCAAGATGTCCGGGCTCCCCCAGCACCATGTGTGCCTGGTTTCATTAATAAGAGAATCAAATTCCACAGGATTTTCCTTCCATCCTTCAGGTAATTGAGAAAAAAAGCAAACAATGACAAAAGTAATATATACATGATGAAATATTAGTATATCCCCTAAAGAAGTATTTTTCAAATAATAACAATGAGGATTAATTGTAGAACAAATGCAAAACTAATAACAGATTTTGTTACATGTATTATATTACAATTTTTTTAAGAAAGCTTACAATAGATAATTTACTTCTTACTAAAATATAGAATCACTTTTGACCTTTCGAGTGTTAAGATCTAGGAAATCCATGAATCCATCCAATCATATTCCATCAATAGCACAGGATGATAAAAAGCTAAAGCTTAACTCTTGAGTCAGTCCCAGTTTGTGTTTATGTGAGTTAGGCATGCTAAAATACTTGTCAAAAGTATCTCGAAACAGGGACTTCCCTGGTGGTCCAGTGGTTAAGACTCCATGCTTCCACTGCAGGGGGCATCAGTTCGGTCCCTGGTCACGGAACTAAGATCCCACATGCCACACAGCATGGCCAAAAAAAAGTATCTCAAAACATACTTCACTTTGTGTCATGATTCAGTGTTAAAGAAGTAATATTTTTGCAATAAATTTTTCATGTGATAAAATCATCTAAATAGACAATACCTTTGGCAACGGCACTGACGTCTTCATAAAACCCTGCTATCAGGGCTACATGGCCTGGCCGAGATTCAGTTGGCACACGTGTGTGAGATATCCCCCAGCTGCCTTCATGCATTATGATATTCCTAAAAGATGTTACAGATGAATAGTTAACACAGACTATGATCAAATGCTCTGTTAAGGCTTTAGAAAAATAAGATTATTACTGAAGGAATCCAGTCAAAAGAGTGAGTCAAAATTTAAGAAGGAAAGGAATCTTTCTGATCCCACTTGAGCCCAGTCCTATCCCTCCCACCAGCTGGATTCAGTAGCACAAGAAAGCCCAGGTGAGACAAAGAACCACTCAACCACTGTACAGGATCACAAGACAAAATACACCATTATTGTTTAAAGCCACAAAGTATTGAAATGGTATGTTACATAAGAAATCACTGATATACACAATATTATTTTGTCAATGTTAAATTTTATTAGGTGTGATGGTGGTTAAATTATCTACCTAAATTTAGGATTAAAACAGGCCAAAATTTCTTTTGCTAAAATGTATCAACATTCTTTAAGTTGTCTAACAGTGATTTGCAGAATTTGGGGGAAAATGCAAAACTATCAGTAATGCTGTTGCAGGTAAAAGGCCAGCAGAGCAACAAGTTATAAAACACTAATTCATTGGTAACAACTTTCAACTCTCAAAATGTTCTGTAGGAAAGTATCTAAAAGTGCTGGTTTAGATACTTTTAATATTGACATCTCATAATAAAACCAACTTTAGTCAAATATATACATAAAAATAAAAGGCTTAAAAAACCATTGAACCACCTGCTGAGGGAGAAATATTTTTTAACTTCTTCAGTTATGTAATGGAAACTGAACTCAAACAGAGAGAGGAAGGTATAAAGAAATGTGGATACTTCTGTTGAAAACATTTTGATCAGATCATATTTTTTAAAAAACAGTGAGGAACAAGTAAAACCTTTCAAAAAAAAAAGGTTTAGGAGAAGCTAGAATGGCATACAACACAAGGAACATCAACTGTGAGCCCTTTGCCCTCTATGTAACACCCCAAGGAGAAGCAAGTGGCACCAGAAAGCCTTGCCTTTGCCTTAACAACCAGTATATTTTATATCTTATTAATTTTGCAATGAACTATATTTCTCTCCTTTCTTCGACAACTAAGAAATTCAACCAAATATATCACCCCAATTTTTAAACTATTCATAGAAATTTATGTTACACATTTTTGTGTACTGAACTTAACCCAGGCTTGATCTTATTTTCCTACTCATATTTTCCTATTGCCCTGAGTTGCTCATTTATTTGCATACTTTAGTATATTATGCATTTCTTTGAGGCACCATAAATTTATTCCTGGAAATTCAACATAGAATTCAGGTTCATTCATTCTTCTAGCAGTCAACAAATATTTATTAATTGCCTATATGTTCTAGGAACTAGAGATAAAGTGGTATATAAAACAAAGTCCCAGCCTTAGTGGAAGTTGCACATGCTAAGTAGTACTATAAGGAAAATTGAAATAGGGTAAAGAGATAGAAAGAAATCATGATGGGGCAGGAGAAAGACAGACGATTTTAGATAAATTTCCACTTGAATTTGAGTTTTAATCTCTCTACAACAGCATTAGGAAGGGCTTTTGAGGGGCTTGCCATAGAATCAGAAAAAGAACAGTTGATTGCAGGAGTCCCCTAAGCCCCCAAAATTAAACATTTCTTTTCAAAGCCACTTAATAGAATCCAAAAATTACATTATGTAGTGATATAGACTTGGAAGGGCTTTATATATTTTATAGAAGATGTATTTTGAGTTGAAGTCTATATTTTCTAGTTAAACACCTTTGTAGTTGGCAATTCACTAATATTTATGCTTGTCATTAATAAGAAAAGGACAATATAGTGAGTTGTAAGCCAGGTTTCAGAAATTAGGACAAGTTAGGCCAAGCAGCTAAGGTCATTCATTTCGATTCACCTGATATCAACTTCCACAATAAGAGAAATAACTCCTAGAAGGAAATAAACTTGCTAATCTCTATGGCAAAGGCCAATGTATATGTGCCCTATTCTCTTTCTCATCATCACTCCTCTACCCAACATGAGATAAACAGTATTAGCATAACATTTTCCAGAGATGTCTTTGTACCAGTTGACACACTTACCTAATAAATGGTGCCCTAGGATTTCCATTTTCATCTAATTCATAAAGTTTATCTGCTCGCAGGCCATCAGCAACAAACAGCACTAATCTTTTCGCTGGGGGAGGCAATGGCGTAAACTGAGGAGTCATTCCATGAACCAAAGGAGATGTAAAATAAATGTCAAAGATAGAGGCGAAGAACACCAAATGTATAAGCAATCCCAAAATAATGTACAGCAGCATATCCCGTGTAACTAATCTTCAAGAAAAACTGAAAAGAGGGAACAAAATTAAATTTGGGTAAGCCTTAGTGCAATCATATATATTTTCACTTATTTTGATGACTACATATAGATTGTATATTTTAAAATATTACATAACACAGCTTCACCTTTATTTATGATGGTAACAAGCATTATTTAATAATGAGATAATACAGAAATAAAATATGATAAAGTACACTCAAGCAAAAAGTTCAAGTATCATAATTAGCACCAATAAACTATTTATAATAAACTTAAATGCATACTAAGCTCATAAAAACTAACATAGGATCAAAAAACAAATAAAGAATTAAATGAGTCCTAAAATGAGTTAGGGTTCAGTCAAGTCAAATCCTGTATAAGATAGAAAATATAACTCATGGTGGTCTTGGTTACCCATGTGACAACCATTGATATTCTCAGAATTTAACATTATTATTATTATTTTTTTAACTTTATTTAACTTTTTGTTTTTTTTTTTTTTTTTTGACTTTTGGTTATCAGCTCAGGACAGTTTTAGCTTCTCTTGACTATCACCAAGTTGAGCAGACAACATGCATTTTGTCCATTTATTCGGGGAAGGAAAAAGTAGTTAAATTTCATCTTTGCTTCAGAAGATTTACACTCATTAAGGGAACACTTTATTTTAGTTCCCTGAAGCAATACAAAAAAGCAGAGGGTTACATTCATTCATTCAGTAAAAATGTTCTGTGCACGTATTACGCGCATAATTGTGTGCTGGGGAACTACAGAGACCACCAAAGTGACACAGTCACAAATCTGATGAGCTTACAAATACTTAGGGAAGGAAAACTAAGCAATGTGAAACATTTAAATAACACATTTAAAGTATACCATTAACTGCCTAAATCAATGGGAGTCCAGGGGAGTGCTTTTCAAGCCAGTCTGCAATTTGCTTTTGTTGATGAATCTCTATCCAGATTATAAATAATAGCAAAGTACTCTAACTTGTCCTTGTAATGTAACTGCATTAGTTATACATAGTGACGCTTGGCTGAAAAACACTAAACATGAGTTAATTTAATCACAGATACATCTTATTCTTCCTGGCCTGAAGAAGTACATTATGAAAGGAAAGGGTGGCAAAATATCCTGCAAAAAAACTGAAACATTGGGGAAAAAACCTTATCAAAGTCAAGCATATAATAAAATAATAAAATAAAATAGAGAAAATGGTCAAATTATGGGCCACTTTTTTCTTGGGAGAATCAAGAGTCAACTAAATATCAAAGATATTCCACAAATTATGAAAGTCCCTTACTGAGTAGATGCTATTCTGCAATCTAAGGCAACACTCTCAGAATAAATATGTATTTTCCTTATGAGCTTTGACCACATAGCAACTCCCATCTTAATAATAGCAATCTGATTATAAAAATAAAATCACTGTGGTAAGTTTGGAAATATAGAAAAATTACCTACAATTCTACTACCTAAAGAAAAATCTGTTCACAGTTTCTTACAATTTTTATCCTATCTACATTTTTATAGAGGCTCACAATTTTATATAGATCTTTTCCTTTATTATACATTAACATTTCTGTTATTTAAAAAAAAAAAACCACCTTTTCCTACACATCATTTACCATTACCATAACTCTATTCTATGCGTGCATTTTAATTTTCCTGATCACCCCCATATTGTTAAGCAGGTTTTTACTATTAAAAGTATCGATGTGATTAATCTAAATTTATATATAATTTTTGTTAATTTTTCAGACATTTCACATTATGTGCTTAAGATACTACCTATAAGTACAGTCACTGAATCAAAGGCTATGAACATCTTTAAGGCCTTTGATATGCTATATATGGAAATAATTGTTTCAGCTGAATACTGATTCTCCTAATGATAAATTAATTAAACACTTGCAATATATATTTCTCTTGCTTATCTCACAAGCCCTCCTTCAAATACACACAGTACAACAAACTAAATTTGATGAATTAAAAATGAGACATTAAGCAGAATATTCTAAAGGACAAGATTTCAAACACGGAAATTATTATTAATATCAGTGTTTCAAGAGAGGAGGGTGTGGTCAACATTATCAGATACACTTAAAGACTGGAGTAAGAGCAGGGAAGCAAACTGAAGTCCTTGTTAACCTTACTGAGGAATTTCAACAGAGTAGTGAGAGGTAAGCCCCATGAACGTGCTTGCTCGAAAGTAAATGGGAGGTCAGGGAGGGAAAGACAGTGGGATGAGTACAGCTCTTTGGGAGAATGCTAAGTCTCAAGAAAAGTTCTTTGCTTAAATGAAAATTGATGTATGGCCAATAGAGGGTTTTCCTCAGCTAGGATACACTAGATCTGTGTGCTGAGGAATGATTTCAAATGTAGAAAGAAATTGATGCTGCAACAGAAAGGTGGAGTAACTGCAGGGGTTAAAAATCCTTGTGAAAGCAAGAAGAGCTGGAGCCTACAGCACAGTGGAGCAGCTGGACCACCCTGTTGTGCCTGGGACACACCGCCCCCCCCACCCCCCGCTTTGGGCACTGGAAGTCTTGCATCCAGGGAAACAGCTCAGTTCCAAGTGAACTATCTCTGGGCTCTTCAGTTGGCTCTTCCCATGGCGGGCTCCTTCTTATTTTTCACACCATCTTCTCAAATGTCGCCTCCTCAAGGTTTCTACACCACCCTAAAGTAGACCCTTTCCTCATTTTACCTGATTTAAACAATGACACACTCTGTATTTATTGTTGAAATTTACTTAGCGATTCTCTTCTGCTAGAATATAAGCCCCATAAGGCTTGATATCTTCTTCACCACTGTTATGTCCTACCTACTGAGAAAGTAGGCGCTCAATGTTTTTTAAGGAACTTATTAAAGTGAATGGCAAAGTAATTTTGGCTAAAATGAATCCTACTTCAACAACATTTATTCAAAACCTACTATTTTGCAAGTATTATGCTCAGCAACAGAATTTGAAAAGTGAATAGACATGGACCACATGTCCGTGTTGAATACGCATGACCACATGTTTTAGTAGGACCACAAAGAACAAGGCAAAGAACCTAGCCAAAGCAAGGAAAGTCTTTGAAGATATATGGGATATTAGGCAATCAAAAGATGTATGCAAAAATACAATATCTAGTAGCCCACTTTTCAATGCTAACAAAGAGCCCTGTGATAATTCTCTCAGATCCAAAAAATTACCTACTAATGTATGTTTTTAACCATTTTTTAAATATATGCATATTAAATAAAAATTACCACTAGTTCATACAACTGTTTTTCTTTTGAGTATAAGGGTTCTTGTTATAATACATTCCACTTATTTAGAGTTAATTATTCTAAGGTCAATAGCCTTACTAAATTTTTTCTGACGCACTCTAGTGAATGGCATCTATTTTTTAATTCTTCAATCAACTTTATTAAAGTATAATTTATATACAAAAATGGACATTTTACATTTTATAAGTTTTGACCAAAATATACATTCATATAACCAACCACCAGAATCAAGATATAGAATATTTTTATCATTCCAAGAAGTTCCCCCATGTTCCTCTGCAGTCAAACCCTGTCCCCACAGCTCTGACCATAAGCAATCACTGCCTTCTGTGATGCAAGATTAATTTTTAGCATTCTGAAGTGTCACTGAGATGGAATCATGCAGTATGTACTTTACTGTATCTGCTTTCATTCAGTATTACATTTTTGAGATTCATGCACGGCTGTGATTCAGCTGTTTGTTCCTTTTTAATACCGAGAAGGATCCATTGTATGGATATACTACAAATTGTTTATCTGTTCACCTCTTGATGGATATGTGAATTGTTTTCAGTTTTGGGCTATTATAAATAAAGCTTCTATGAACAGTAAATGACTTTGTGAATATATGCTTTCATTTCTCTTGAATAAATATGCAGAATTAGAATTGCTGGGTTAAATGGTAAGCAGATGTTTAAACGTATAAAAAGAACTACCAAACTTTTTCCAAACTGTTTAACACATCTACAAGCAATGTCTTTAAGTGTTTTAAAACTTTATTTTATTGACAATCTATAATTTGGCTATCAATGTCATTTTAGAATTTACTTTTATAGTAAGTATAATGTGCTTTATAATTTCTTATATATTGTTATAATGTTCCCCCCACTCTTGAGTATATTCAATTACAGTTAGTTAGTGGGAGTGTAGTGCTAACCTATTGTGGTTTTAATTTACCTTTCCCTGATGACCAATAACGTTGAGCAACTTCTCATGCATTTAATGAACTTTTTTTAATCCTCTTTTTTTTTGCCCTTTTCACTTTTTAGACAGCGTTTTTCAAATAGCAGTACTTTTAAATTCTGATTAAGTTCAATTAATTTTCTTTTGGTGATTGTATTTTGTGTCCCACCTAAGGAATTTTTGTAAATGACAACACTTTAGTATAGATTTTTAACATTTTTATTTTCAAACAATTCCAAATTCAGAGAAAAATTGCGATAGTGGTATGAACATCCATACACCCCTTAGCCATATATATCTAACGTTAACATTTTTCCCACTTGCTTTATCATTTTCTCCCTCTTGCCTCTCTGGTCCCTGCCTCACCTCTTTAACTTACCCCTCCCATGTGTGCGGGTGGGAGGTTTGGGGTTGTGTGTGTGTCACATAATATTGTTTCTGAACCATGTGAAGATAAGTTACATACACTATGGCCCTTTACCCCTAAATACTTCAGTGTTTATTTCCTGAGAATAATGATACTCCCATATATACCTACAGTAGAGTTATCAACTTCACACTCAACGTCAGTATTTTTATCTAATCTACCATCTATACTCCAAATTTTTGAAGTGTCCCAATAATATTCTTTATAGCATTTTTATAGCTTTATTGAGGCATAATTGGCCTATAATAAGCTGTATATATTTAAAGTGTATAATATCACAGTCAAGATAGTGAACATACCCATAACCCTCAAAAGTTTCCTCATGCCTCTGTGATTCATCCCTACATATTTCATTTTTTGATATTATTGTAAATGATATTTTTTATTTCAATTTCCCCTTGTTAGTTCTTAAATTACCACTGATTTTTATACATTCACTTTGTATCCTGGAACACTGAAAAATTATTAGTTATAGTAACTTTTATGTAGGTACCTTTTGATTTTCTAAAGAGATAACTATGTCACCTGTGAAAAAAGGACTTCTTAGCAATCTATACTTTTTTATTTATGTCTCACGCTTGTTGTACTGTCTAGGACCTCTAGTATAATGTTGAATAAGTGTAATAACAACAGAAATCCTTGCCTTGTTTCCAGTCTTAGGGTGAAAGTTGTCAGTTTTTCAGGTTTTGTAGATTCCCTTTCTTAAGTTAAAGAAGTTCCCTTTTACTCTCAATATGCAAAGAGTTTTAAACTGTGAATGAATGCTGGATTTTGTCAAATGCTTTTGTTGCATCTATTGAGATGATCATGATCATTCGGTTTTTCTCTTTTAGTCTCCCAATGTGGTGAATTACGCTGATTGAATTTCAAACGTTAAACCAAGTTTGCACTCCCAGAATAAACCCCATTTGATCATTAAGTATTATCCTTTCTATATACTATTGGATTTTATTTCCTGAAATACTATTTAGCATTTTAAAGTAATATTTATTAGAGATATTAGACTATAATTTTCTTTTTTCTCTGGTTTTGGTATCAGACAATGCATTGGGAAGTGCTGTTACCTCTTTTATTTTTTGGAAGAGTCTGTGTAGAATTTATATTATTTCTTCCTTTCTTGTGTAACAGAATTCACCAATGAAACCAATGGCGCAGAGTTTTCTTTGTTGGAAGGTTTTTAACTATAAATTCTTCATATACAGAGAGATGTTATGATTATTTACTACTTGTTGAGTGAGTTTTGGTAGTTGTATCTTTTAATTTGTCCATTTCATCCAAACTGTCAAATTTATTATTCCAAAATTATCCTTAATATTCTATTCACTTATCCTTTTTTCTGTCATCTAGCTCAGGACCCCATCTATCAGGTATCATATTTAGTTATGCAAAGTAAGTCATTTTTCAAGTACTCAAATCATTTCAGTTAGATCTTAAACTCTATTTACAACTAAAGTACATACTGTATATATCTAGATGTACAGAAGCTCACACTGATTTAAATACTCCTCTTTACCATGGAAACCTGAGTACTCTCCTTTTCATGCTTATATATAAGGAAATATGTATATCACTTCTCACTTTCACTTGTATTTACAAATAACTCCCTGGACTTATGTTCTTTCTTTTCTCCATTGTTATTACACAACTCTTCTATATAAAGTATCAAAGTTTATGTGTCAAAGGATAATACAAATTTTCCACTACCCAAAACCTTACTGAAGTAGTGAAACAAAAATTGTATTTGAGAACTTTGACCCTGAAGCTGTAACAGCCAACATAAAAATCTAGCTCTGTTATATAGTGACAGTGGGATCCTAGTCAAGTCCCTACCTTGCACTCTCAAGCATCACTTCCTCAGGGACTATGCAGTCCAAATCAGAAGCCAAAATCTTTACTTCAGTTTACAATTATATGGCTATGACTCTGACTATTTGTAGTAATGTCTGTCTCTATCACTTAAAGCTGATTCCAGGACAGCAAGACAGGCTTTCTCCAGCACTCATCACAGTCCTGGGCACTTACTAAGGACTAATAAATGACTTACAATTATCATTTCAAAGGTAAATGTAATATGCAGGATAGCCACTAGAGGCTGCCTTGCTTCTCTATTTATTCCTCCTCCAGAACATACGCATGAACTGTGAAGATTCAGGATACTTAAAAACAACCACAACAACTTTTATGTTTAAGTCATTTACTATACATAAAATTTCGGTGATTCCAAAATATTATTCTTCACACACTACTTATTTTATTATTGCTAAGCACATGTAATTAAACAATATTATTATTTAATATTTCTGTTTTTAAAAAATCACTTTTTATTCAGATTTAGTGAAAAAGAAAACTTTGTCATGGATGAATCATTTGGAAACCACCAAAATAAATGAATAATTACTAAAAATTTTAAAATACACATAACCATATATCAATAAAAGTTATTTAGCTTATATCTGTGGGATGTTTACCACATGCTAAAAAACAATGTTAAAAAATTAGAATGTATAAAAATGTATAAAAAATTAGATACTTATAAAACTTTAAGTCAATGAAAAACTTGCATTTGAAATATTACTTGTGGTTATTTTAAGACTACTAAAGCAAAAAATAATTTTTTAAACATGAAAATGATTTAAGTGCTTGGAAAAAAGTGATCTTATATTTTCATCACTAAGATACAAACTTCAATGACTATCCATATTATTCAGTGAAACATTAGCTGTAAAGACCAAATTAATGCAGATCTTGCTAAGTAGAAAGAAAATTTCTCAACAATATTAACAGCAAATTATTAAAAGTAGAGATCAGCAATTATTAATATTCTAGTATGTGCTATTTCTTAAACATTTTAAATTGGTAAGTAAACCTCTATGTATTGCGGAAGAGAAAAGTACTTACTGAGGAGACTGGCCAGTTGATTTGTTACGGGCTTGGAAGGTCACATAAACAAGTCCATGATTATAGGATACGAAGTAGAATCAGGAAACTACAGACGTGTTATAGGAAGCCAATCATGGAAGGACTCCTACATCCAACTCCTTACAACTCTCTGAGGAAACATATTTTAAATCTATTGATATTTTCAACTTTCATTTTAGAAATCAGACCTTAAATTAAAGATATTCCCTTTGGGGCCTACTACCTTAATTGCTTTTTCTGGCTGTAGCTACTAAACAATTGACAAGGGGTTTGTTTTGCTTTATTTTTAAAAGTCTGTCAAATGTTCTCCATATACTAGTATTACATTAATTGAGAACTGACTATAACATTTATTGTGTACTAGGTACCAGGTACAGTAACAAGCACATTCCTAATTCTATATACTTTCAGCATCCCCTCAACAGATGAGGGCTGAGAGAAGTCAAGTAACTATTTAAAAGTCTCACAGTAAATAATTGGCAGAACTGGGATATGAACTTTAGGCTCTTCAACCTAATAAGCACAATCCTCTAAGGGAAGACCCTAAGTGCAGGGACCCTAAATACAAAAGATTTCTAAAATTCCCCATTACAGAGATGGAAATATTGTACTATACAAACAACCCATTTCTAATCATGCCCTTTCCATGCCAGTCCCTAATCCCTTCCATTCCTCCATTCCAGAAATTGGTTCCATTTTCAGTCTCTCTGGCAAACTCAATAAGGAGCAGCAATCCTTTTAGCTAAGAAATATGTAACAGCATTGACTAGTTTGATACTATTTTTCTAAGATCCACGATTTTTTTTTCCATGCTTTTCTTCAATATATTATGGCTCACACACAAAAAAATTTAGAATTCAAACATTAGGAGCTAATGTTCTATAAAAAATACTTTGAATTCTTAGTATTAATAACATCAAAAACAACTTCTACCAAAAATAAAACGAAAAACCCAAAGCCTCATTCAAATGAAAAGTTTAGTTTACTGAGCCTGGGTAAACTGAAATTAAAGCCGACATTTAACTGTTGGTATACACTTACATGTAAACCAATAACCTGACCTAAGGCTATATAAGAACACAATATTTTTATTTTTCCACAGACCTAAAGGATATACTTCACTGCTTCAATGTAACATAACTTACCTGATAATAATAATTATTGCCACCTCTATTTTGGTGCTTAAAGGAAGAACCTATGCAGAATGACAGGGAAATCTAAAAGTGCATAAGTGGCAAACTTTGTATACTGTGCTAACATATTTGTATACTGTCCAATATATATATACTGTCCAAAGTATACTTTGTATAGTGTCCAAACTTAGTATACTGTGCTAACATTGGATAAAGGATATCAAAACTGTCAAAAGCAGCCAAGTTTCCAAATTTCTCAGTTCCACAGTCAGTACCTTGACTCCAGCCTAAATGTACAAGTCAGAAATGTTGCAAGGCATAGCGGAGAAAGAATGGCTATGGACATAAGAGAACTGACTTTAGTTCCTTTGAATACTTATTGATGGAGTTGACTTATCCGGGTCATTGAACGTCTCTAGGATTAAGTTTACTTTTCCCTCCACTGAGGGACTGCATTTGATATTTTGAAGCATCCCTGTGTATTAAATCCTGAGATTCTAACAGTTTGCTACTGAAGTCGAGGCTATCAGGGTATTCTCTGATCCACGCAAATCCAAACCTCTGAGTTCCATTTTCCATTTACTCTCTCCACCTCCCACACCCCACCCTATGGCATCCTGCCCTATCACTACTAACTCGGTGGCGAGAAGGCGCTCTCCTAGGCCTCCAGGGCAAACGGATACACGGCTGGGAAGGCAAGGAAGAGAAAGGAAGCCACATTCTGACTACAGCCCCTGCCCTGGGCACTTGCTACACGTGCGGAGAAAATGTCATCAACTGGTGGCACACAGCAGAAAAAGTGAAACGTGCTAAGGAAAAGTGAAGCATTTCGGCGGCGGGCGTGAGGCCACTTTCGGGGCCGCCGCACCTCTCCCCCACTAGTCCCGGACTTTACCTGGGCTTATACAGGTCAGGCCTGATCTCAGAAATGGGGCCTCCTCACCGCGAAGGCGGGACCCAGCTCGAGGTCAGAGTTCCCCTCTATTCCCGAAAGGACATCCAAGAGAATGAATGTTCCTAAGCCACCGTCATAACCGCTCCTCAACCACGGAACGCCCCTGACACTTACCTGTTCAGAAGCTGCTCTCGCGATAATTCTTGGGTCAGCCCCCCCGTAACTCCAGTCCCCGCCCCTTACCCATTTGGCCAATCAAAAAGGAGTGGGGGCGGGACTTTGTCTTTGAGCGTGGAGCGGGGCCCTCTATCTTTGCTCACTAGTGGGGAGAACGGGCGGGGCGGGGGCGGGGCTGGGGCGGGGAGAGGGGGCACGGCACGCGCCATTTCTCGCGAGACTGGGGACCAGGAAGACGCCTGCAGAGCCGGGCTGCTGCTGCAGCTGCGGCTGAGGCAGAGGGTGGTGCTGCTTCCAGACCGTTTGCCTCCGAGCCTGGGCCTGGTCTCCAAGTGAGGAGGCGGGACGTGGCCAATCCGGGGCCTTGGAGGTGCCCAGTGCCCGCTGAGGCTTAGTGGGGATTCAGGCTGCGGCCTGTCAGAGCCAGACAGGGAGGCGCCCACGCTCCTGACAGTATAAGATGGCGGCGATGGCGCCTGGAGGTGGTGGCGGCGGCGTGAATCCATTCCTCAGCGATTCGGACGAGGACGACGACGAGGTTTCAGGGACCGACGAGCGGCGGGCAGGACTTCGGCTGAGTTCCGGAGTCGGCCTAGATCCTGGCTCTGCGGACTCACTATCGCCTCAGGATCCTGTGGCCTTAGGGAGCAGTGCACGACCAGGGCTCCCTGGGGAGGCGTCGGCGGCTGCGGTGGCCCTGGGGGGCACCGGCGAGACCCCGGCCCGATTGTCAATTGATGCGATCGCGGCTCAGTTGTTGCGCGATCAATACTTGCTGACCGCCCTGGAGCTGCACACCGAGCTGTTAGAGAGTGGCCGCGAGCTCCCTCGGCTGCGCGACTACTTCTCCAATCCCGGCAACTTCGAGAGGCAGAGCGGGACCCCGCCGGGGTTAGGGGCGCCGGGGATCCCTGGAGCAGCCGGCGTTGGAGGCGCAGGAGGTCGGGAGCCGAGTACTACGTCGGGTGGGGGACAGCTCAGTAAGTGAACAACAGCCCTGTCACTCCGGCTGGACTGTTGGGATTGCAAGGGGTAGTTGTGGGGAGGGGTACTTCCGGGCGGATACTGAGTATGAGGAACATTTTAGTTAGAGAGTTGGGACGGGGGGCGATCTTCTGCGGTGGAAGCAAAAGGATCTGGCAGTGATCCAGCTCTTGGCTGGACTTGCACCTGCTCCTGGCTCCACTCTTGGTGTCGGGATCTACTAAATAGCCAGCGTTTCTAGTTCACTGGCTATTACGTGACCCCAGAAGACTCCCTTGCAACCTTGGTTTATCGCTTTAATCCTTTTTCCGTTTTCTCCAATCCCCTGAATCACCACTGCCTGGAAACAGTGTTCCTTAAATTGTACGCAGTAATTATTTGACTCAAAGTCAAGAGAGAAAAGAATAGGAAATTTCTCTCCACGAAATCAGATCCACTTGAAGACCCTTTGTCTTTGGGATGACTTGCTCACTCAAAAATTAGGTTTTCTGTTGCATAAAATTTGTTCTGTTTAAATTCAGTTTAATTCCATTTCTGTTCCTTAATTTCAGTAGGTTTACAAAATTACAGGAAGTCTAAGGAGCTGGCTAGGCAAGTTCTGCCTGCAGTGTATCTGCTGGTCTCACCACCTCACAGGCTTTTTTCTCTGCCTAAGTTAGGAATTAACTTTTTTACCTTGTTATAATCATTGTTAGCAGTATAGAGTAGTCGTTCACTTCATTCATCATATATATATAAGCATTTCTTATGGCTTTAAAACGTGCTGTCAAGGATGTATACTGTATTCCTAGGACCCACCCCTTTTGAGAGGCATCTTAGATTTTTTCCCTTATTAATGGTATGAGGTGTTTTTGTGCGTTATGTGAGGCCAACTGGAATTTACTAACAAATGTTAAATATACAGTTTTAAAAGTGTAACCCAATTGATTATTTTTTGTCAATACTTTTTTTTTTTTTTTTGCGTTACGCGGGCTTCTCACTGCTGTGGCCTCTCGCGTTGCGGAGCACAGGCTCCGGACGCGCAGGCTCAGCGGCCATGGCTCACGGGCCCAGCCGCTCCGCGGCACGTGGGATCTTCCCGGACCGGGGCACGAACCCATGTCCCCTGCATCGGCAGGCGGACTCTCAACCACTGCGCCACCACGGAAGCCCTGTCTATACTTTTAAATGGTGCCAGAGACTTATATTTCCTAACTTAGATGTAGTGAAAGTGCAAAGAGTGCACTTTCCATCAGGGTAAATACTGAGCATATTTCTCTCTTGAATATGGAACTTTCTCAGCAGGTGTAACTTCGTTGCTCAATATTATAGGATAATATTCCGTTTCTGGAAACGATTTTCTCATTGCTGACCTTTAAGACCATAAAATGTAACAAAGAGCAGTGTAACAAAATTGTTAGGCAGTTGGCTTTCTTTGTTTGGTTTCAGATTTTTGAACTATCTAATAATGATTTTCACCTGATAAGCTCTTACTACTTCCTCAAGACCCAGCTCAAATGTCATCTTTGTAAATGTTTCCCACACTCTCCAGGCTTGGTTGTTTGGTTCTTTCATTGTACTATTTTCAAACCTCAACCGTTGCTTTTAACTTTTTGTATTTGATTTGTTAACAGTATCATTTTTCTCCATTAGATAGTCAATTCTTAAGGGTCATCTTTATATTCCTCACAGTTTGTGCAGTTCCTGGCCTGTTGTTGAACATAATTAAATTGCATCTGCTGTGTTTTTCTACTATATAAATATAATGAAATGGGTTATTACTTACTTCATAACTTTATTCTATTTAATTTAAAAGAATTTATTATCCTGTTCACCCTACCTTATTATGGCGTGATATCACTGTTTATAGTGAAAATGTCTCTTAAAAACCTTTCGTATACAAATATATTTATAATTTAGACTAAATATTATAGAGGTGTCTTAGAGTAAAAATTGACTTCTAAATGCCTTTGCATTATACATTTTTAGTTTCTTGAAATAACTTAAGTCCTGTGATCAAAAATCAAAATTTAACTACAATCAAATATTCATCTGCAGTTGTGCTTTTCTATTATCCTCATTTAATTGGACCTGTTTTGGGTATAACTCAAAAATATATAATTAAATAATATATTTTAGATAATGTATTTTCAAGTTAGTACAAAACAAATGAGCAGCAGGGAAAAAAATATCAAAATTATCCATAATCCAACCAGTGGTACTTGCCTTTTCTGTCTTTTCTATCCATATAATTTAGAAAGCAAAAATGGTTTTAAACTGTTTTATATAGCTTTATATTAGTTGACAGACACTAATTTTTACCATCAACTTTGAGGTAAAATTCCATACAATAAAATGTGCCCATTTCAAATGTACAGTGTGATGAGTTTTGGAAAAAAAATTACTACTACAAATAAAATACAAAACATTTTTGTTGTCGCCAGAACTCCTTCATTTTCCTTTGCATTCAATATCCGAAGACCATCACTGACCACTGTAGAACACAATTTTCCAGTCTTGGCCTAGGCACTATCGAAACTTTGGGCCTGATAATTCTTTGTTGTTAGTGTCCTCTGCATTCTAGAATGTTTAACAGCATTGCTGGCCTCTCTGTCTGCTAGATACCAGTAGCAACCACCCCGACCCCATTCCCTAAGTTGTGACGATCAAAAAATGTCACCAGCACTGTCCAAGGAAGGGGAGGGCAAAATTTCCCCAATTGAGAACCACTTCCTTAGTTAAGTTTTGTCTATTTTAAAATTTCATATAAATGCAGTTCTGGAGCATATAGTCTTTTCTGTCTGGCTTCCTTTGCTCAGTAAAATGTTTTTGAAATTTATCCAAATAATGTTTTTATGTGTATTAATAGTTCATTGCTGTTTTGGTTTATCCATTCATCTGTTAGCCATTTGTGTTTTTTCCATTTTTGGCCTGTATGAATAAAGCTGCTATGAACAGTCTTGTATAAGTTTTGCCTGGACATATGTTTTCATTTCTTTTGGGTAATACCTAGGAATAGAATTCCTGGGTCATATACTTAGTATATATTTATATTTGTAAGAAACGGTCAAACTGTTTTTACAAAATGGTTGTATCATTTAATATTTCCATCACCAATGTATGAGAGTTTCAATTTCTATACATCCCCCAAACACTTGGTATTTTCAGGCTTTTTATTTAACTCATTCTAGTGAGAGTGCTGTGGTATTTCATTGAGGGCTAGTGATGCTGAGCTATTTCTTCTGAGCTTTTTGCCATTGGGTGTGTGTGTGTGTGTGTGTGTGTGTGTGTGTGTGTGTGTTGCCATTAATGTATCTTTTGTGAATTGTCTCTTCCCAGCTTGTTATTGAGTTATAGTTCTTTATATATTCTGGACCCACGTCCTTTATCAAGTATGTGTTTTGCAAATTTTTTCTCCCAGTATGGTCTGCCTTTTCATTTTTTAATAATGGGTCTTATGAACAAAGGTTTTTAATTTTATCAAGTCCATTTAATTGGGTTTATTCCTTAATGATTTGTGCTCTTTGTGTCCTAAACAAGAAATATTTGCCTATCCTAAGGTTGCAACAATTTTCTTGTGTATTTTCTTCTAGAAGTTTTATAGTTTTAGCTTTTAAATTTAGGCCTATGATGGCATCAGAAAAAGAAGAAATATTTCTTAAATATTCCTCCTATAAACGTGCAGATATTTATAGCACAAACTTTAGTATAGCTTAACTGCAAGTGCATTGTGTATGTCAAAATATCAGTGCATTTAAATGTCTTGATACAGTCAGAAAATAGATAAATGCTAAAAGAAGTCTGTAAAACTGTGGTTAGTACCATGTTTTGAAGATTTTGACTAAGCTCCTAATCACACAAATTCTGTTTTAGAGATTCTAAGGATGAATCCTTCTTTAGGACCAGACTACTGTCTGTTTTAAGGCCCTCTATGTTCAGTTCTAGCATGTCAGCTGTTGCTAGTTCGGTTATGACTTTATAATACTCAATAAGTACTTTTTGGTTAATTATAAAGAGTATAAAGATTGATAGTATGATTATCTAAAACATTAAATTATTTTTATTTGTTTTTATGTATTTTTTGATGTGTGTCTGATCTGAAAATTCATAAAACTTCAGAATAATACATGTATAGTCAAAAGTAGTTTTCTTTAAAGATGTCTAAAAGCAATTTAATTTTGTAAGATTTACTAAATCGTTTACCCAAAAGTCTGTTGACCTCGGTTAATACTAGTATAGTGGTGGTTTTAAAATACTGTAAGAAGTCTTCATACTATATTTAATCTTTTTTCTTGATTAGAAGAGTAGTCTATATTTATAAAACATTCAAAAATTAAAAGAATTATAGCTCTATAATTTTGATGTTTTCAGTAGAAGAATTTAAAATGAGCTCTAATGAAGTCTCAGTGTTTGATAAATTGTTGCAGCATCACTGTGATGTTCCTACTAGATCCATTTGTTAAACTAATTAGATCTTTTGTATTTCGTTTTACTTGGTTGAATATATACACACATTAATTATATATTTTTCCCTGTATTTTTGCCAGTTGAGCCAATTTGGTAATTGTTTTGCTTTCCAATTAGATTGCAAGATAAAACTTGTGCCAATGCCATTGATTAGCACTGAACAGATTGTAGTATCTTATCCGGAGGACTGCTGGTTCCACCCTAAGCCTTAGAGTTCTAATCAAAATTGGACTGTAATTGCTTAGGATGAGCCAGTTCTTTGTAGAGACAGTAGGTGGTCAAATAACTTATGCCTTTCAATGATGGATTTCTTTTATTCTGTATTTATCATCCTTTCAAATTTTTGTAAGGCTGCTTATCAGGAGGTATTTATGATTGAATTTAATAATTTAACTTGTGAGCCTACAGACTTCTTGAGTCATCTTTCTCCTTTTTAAAATTTTCTGTTTCATTACCTTGCCTATCTTTTCTCAAAACTCTGAAAGAGTACATATCTCACTGTGCTCTGTTCCTTTCTTAGTATCACCTGTGCTGTATGATTACCGTCTTC